TCTCGGGGGGGGGGGAATTGGCATCCTGCTGTACCCAATTGTGTTCCAAAATTGACTTTTAATTGTCACTAATAAACCTGATGATTATGATTTATCTACAGAAGTATAATGAAGTGTAGAGAGAATTGAGGAGAATAATCTCTCTTCATCCGCCATCGGAAAGATCTTCTATTTGCTGTAATAAAATTCACCTTTTTTTTTTTTGATTCCAGGAGGACTCGGAGGTGGCCGAAGCCGGAAGGAACCTGGAAGTGGTCTTCGAGGACTTGCTGAAAGAGGCTTATCCTGGCCGCATCTTTCCCTTTCCTCAGGAAGAAGACTCGGAATCCGAGGAAATCGGGCCTGAGAACTGTCACATGAAAGGCTTTCACTGGCCGCCCTATGGACAAGAGTGCGTACAGCCCAAAAGGAGGAGGCGCCACACTATCAGTCAGAAAGCTAAAGAATTCAACTTGTGTTAATCCTGGAATTCAGGGCAACAAGTGGAATCATTCAGTGGACTCGTTCTGCCATCCAAACTTAAGTCCAGAGACTCCTTTTATTTAAACCATTGCTGCCCAATCCAGCGGGCTGTTCATGGTGTCTCTCGGTGGACCATCTTCTGGTCACAGGGGTCCGTGCTGTACAACCGCTCTGGTCATTGTAGACCGTTTCCCTGGAATCTCAGCATACATTCTCTGATGGCATTTCCAAGGAGTTAGCTAGCTGGCCTATCACATGCAGGTGACAGATGATTGGATGAAAGCGAGAACCAATCAGTGGTTGGACTGTGGTCCCTGAGTCGGGTTAAATGTAAAGTTGTCACAGTTGTCGGGAGAGTCTCTGTAACTGATATATCCATATAAGGGCCTTGAAAATAGTTTTTATTTTGTAGCAAATTAGGAACTTTGTTTTAATCGCTACAATGAAATAATGTAACGCAACCATAAAACCTAAAACACTCGTCTGCCATGAAGAGGCTTCAACAAGTTCGCAAGCGGTTATTAATCAAAGAGTTAGCGGGTAACGAGCCGCCTCGCCTGCACCGCGTTCTGGACCGGTCGCCTTGCGGGATCTGATTTTTGTTAAATGGTGAAAAATATCCGATAATGTTTCGGGAATCAGAAAACAGGAAATTAATACGACAACAGGAACGACCACCATCGGACAGGGAAGGAGAAAAAAACTTTTTATGGGGCCAACAAAAATTTGCTATAAAAAAAATCCCCTTTACACGTCAACAGAAGACTTTCCAGAATTCCTCTTCGTACCTTGTGATCGGTCAGTTTATAGACGATGGTAATTCATTGACTTATTAATAGATAATCGATATTTTTTCCTCCAATGATTGCACACAGCCTGCAAAGCCCACCACAGATCCTGCAGAGCCTTCCTCTGATTCCGCGCCGTGGTTTTATAGCTGGAAGTTGATATGACAGAACTGCAGAGACATCCGAAGTGCCTCCAGTGAAATGTTTACTTTCTGCCGTGATCCTGTCACTGAATTTTGGTAAATAAACCAACTTTATTGTAAAAGTAGTTTAAACTGCAGCTTTTTCTTTCACGTTGGGTAGAGCAGTGACGGTTTGGAGCTTCTGTCAGCTTTTTTTTATTGCTTCTCTATCAAAAGATTTTCCCAAGACGGGAAATGATGGGCGTACCCGGGAACTTTCATAAGTCAATGGGAGAATGGGGGTGTGACAAGGGGTGGGGTTATTAGTAGCTTGTTTGGGGTGCATTGAATAAAAGGGTATTTGGCAGAGGGGTAACTAGAAGAAACTGCACCCCTGGCATCCCGGCTCCTGGCAACCAGTGACGTCAATATTGCCAGGAGCTGGGCAAGATGCCGGCCAGAGCATTCCAGGTTGCTAAGAGCTTGGCGTGGAGATATTTATGGAGCTTAGCTTCCTGCTGGCAGACACATCCCCCAGTCACTCTGTTTACAAAGAGCTGGGCGGGAAGGTGTGTAAGGGGTATAGGGATGCTCTGGCCGGCGTCCTGGCGGGCAGACACATCCCCGGTCGCTTTGGTTACTAAGAGCTGGGCGGGAAGGTGTGTAAGGGGTATAGGGATGCTCTGGCCGGCGTCCTGGCGGGCAGACACATCCCCGGTCGCTTTGGTTACTAAGAGCTGGGCAGGAAGGTGTGTAAGGGGTATAGGGATGCTCTGGCCGGCGTCCTGGCGGGCAGACACATCCCCGGTCGCTTTGGTTACTAAGAGCTGGGCGGGAAGGTGTGTAAGGGGTATAGGGATGCTTTGGCCGGCGTCCTGGCGGGCAGACACATCCCTGGTCGCTTTGGTTACTAAGAGCTGGGCGGGAAGGTGTGTAAGGGGTATAGGGATGCTCTGGCCAGGCGTCCTGACGGGCAGACACATCCCCGGTCGCTTTGGTTACTAAGAGCTGGGCGGGAAGGTGTGTATGGCCCTTAAACATCTCCCCGCTTGGCTCTTAGCAACCTGGGATGCTCTGGCCAGCGTCCTGCCCAGCTCTTGGCAACCGTTGATGTCACTGGTTGTCAGGAGCTGGGCAGGACGCCAGCCAGAGTGTCCTTGGTTGCTAAGAGCCAGGTGGCGGGATGTGTATGGGAGAGGGGTGGGGAGAGAAAAAAGTCAGCTGTCCCCCCTACTTCAAATGGCGCCCAGGGCATGTGCCATACTCTGCATACGCCATCTTGGATGGCTCTAGGGGAGAAAGGTTAAGGGCTCAGAGGGAAGAAGGGTGGCGAAGGGGCACTTTAGGTCTTTGAGGGGGGAGAGGGGAATTGCTCATCCCAGTCTCCATGTATTCACCGACCTCCACGTGACACACCTCACTCTCCAAGAGGCGCCCGTACTAAGGAGGTGTGTTCTCAGCAGTGCCCTTCCCTCTGCTCTCTTCCCCCCACAGTCGGCTGCCATTGGAGGTAGGAGAGAGCAGAATCCTCCCGCCAGCAGCTATTGTGACCCCGTCTCTGCCTGATAGGGGTGACCCCAGCCGGAGAACGAGGGGGAAATCCGGCATCTCCGAGTGAAAGCCAGCAAGTCCCCGGGTATGGTGATGGGGGTACTTTTTGTAGAGTAGGGAAGGGTCAGAACGTCTGACAATATTCTTCTTCCACCTCTCTTTTCTCTTGCTGGGTGAGCCTCTTGTGGGCATATTATAAAAATTTCCTATACGGAGAGCCATAAAAACCTGAATATTATTTGTATTGTTGGGATTTTTCATTTCTTACAATTAAACTGTAATAAGGTAAATTTTAAATGAATGTTTCTTACTTTGTATATAAAATCTTTGTTTTACAAATAAAATAGTACAGCAGTAGCTGTTTGCTTTCAGACTGTCTCTCCTTTCTAAAAAAAAAAAAATACTGTCCTGTCTAAAATAAGAAGGCAAAGAGGGGGAGGGGGTCACGGCTCATTCAGTTGTCTGTAAATCCGAGCTGGAGCTCCGTAAACAAGAAGGTTTTGCTTAGCAGAGCAGATGAGACCAGTCAGGAAAAGGATCCAACGGCTCCATCTGCTGGCTGGATATAAGAATACTCAATATTCATATGAATCATTTTTTTTTTTTTATCAGCAAGGGAATCAGGGTTGCTGATCAGTGACGCACAATTAGTGAAGCTGCTGGATTAGCATGACCGACAACACGCATTTTTTAAATAGGAAAATATTACCAATGGCCACCTCCACTTTTCTCTCCCTTCACTGGTTCAGTGTTCAAAGTTTTTCAGCACGTTCCCGTCCATAAAATCAGTAGAGTCTCCCGTTAGTCTGACCAAGGTTCCCAAACTCTTTTCTTGGTGACACCAGAAGAAAAAAAAACCAGTGTAAGTCTCTTCTGTTGTCACCTGTGTGCACCACATAGATTTGGGTCTACTGCTGCTTCCTGAACCCCCGGGAGCCACCCTCATCTGAAATGCTGGTGTATCCCTCTGATGTGGACGGGAGCACTGGGGAGTGATATTTGGGCTACACATAAAGGATGTTGGTGATGCAGAGTTTTTTTATTACATTGGATTACCACACACTTGTATTGTAATGCAAAGCCTACTTTCAGTGAACAAAGCCATCAACAGAGACCATAAATCCTTTCAACACATATTCACTTAATATTACAACTAAAGGTACCCAGTGGCGTCACAAGGGGGGGTGCGGCCCGCACCCGGGTGACACCATTGGAGGGGGTGACACCAAAATGACTCTCAGTCATTTTGGTGTCACCCCCCTCTGAAAAGTCGGGCGCTCGGTCATGGACCGAACGCCCGACAGTATCAGGAGAGAGGAGGGGACCCGGCGGCATACCTTATCCCGCTGGGTGACTGTCCCCTCCTCTCTCCGGCAGGTATCAGAATACTGCCGCGTGTGCGCGATGATGTAATCGCGCACGCGCGTGGTGACGTCACGCGCAGTGACATCTCGGCGGGGTGACACTCGGTTACCGCTCCGGGTGTCACCCAGCCTCTGCACTCCACTGAAGGTACCTGTATTACAGTCTAAACAAGTCACATATCCAGTTACTATGTGACGCACAGGGCCAAAAATCTCCCATTACCTCCTCTAACTGAGCCAAATGGTCAGGGGGCGGGACTACAGCCGGTGCGGCCAGTGCGGTGGCCCAGTGAGGTCCGGTCCTGGGCACCCCCCTTGGTAGAATATAGGGCAGTGCTGGGTGACTCACCACTGCAAATCCCGGCCGCGTCCCTAGTATGAATCAGTGTGATCCGCTC